TATATATATATATATATATATATATATACACACAGCAAGTGTATGTATACCGATATACTGGACATGTACCTAGTCCCCAGTGCTAGAGAATGATGATTATTATGGATCAGATTGTACCAAGATGGGATCTCTTTATGGTTTTATGCCTTCAGACTGAACGCACTCAGGCTCTCGGATTTAGAGGTCTTGTATAATCGATGAGGACGACGTAAGGAATGGTTGAGGTCAGTCACCGAAACCTCATTACAGCCAGTAATAAGCAGATCCAATAGAAATGCAGCTCCTATGTCATGTGACCCAGCCACCGGCTGTGTATTGTGGGCACCAATGTCACTGAGCTCCCATGTCATGTGACCCAGCCACCGGCTGTGTATTGTGGGCACCAATGTCACTGAGCTCCCATGTCATGTGAACCACCCACCAGCTGTGTATTGTGGGCACCAATGTCACTGAGCTCCCATGTCATGTGACCCACCCACCGGCTGTGTATTGTGGGCACCAATGTCACTGAGCTCCCATGTCATGTGACCCAGCCACCGGCTGTGTATTGTGGGCACCAATGTCACTCTGTTTGAAGACTCTGTACAGTACTGTACAGTGTACTGTAAATCAGTCAATAAAGTATTTACCAAGACCCGCAGCGGAGAACGGAGTACAGCACTGAAGACGGCGAGACATCGCAATGCCGCTGCCACGTTCCCGCACGTACGGTCGGAGAGCTGGTCGTAAGTGTGAGTGGTGGTCGCAAATCAGGTAAGTCGTAAAGTGAGTAATATCTGTACTGAGTTCCATATCTATACCCCGCCCCATCCAATGGCCGCCTATTCAATAAAAGCATACATTGAAGTGTAGAACCATCTTCATGTTAGCCAAAGGGTCTTCCAGTCACTGGCCAAACTAACTCATAACGCCTAATCAGATTTAAGCTTCAACAAAAAGAAAAAGGCAGATTTACTAAAATGTCAACAACCAAAAGTATGTGAAATCTAAAAGAATAATGACCACTATAAAGATCAGAGGTCCCTGTACAATCTACAGTGCCACCAGTGATGCAAGACGTTAGCCAATAGAAGACACATTGTGAAAAGCCTTCATGATGCCACCACTGGGACCCACACCCTGCTAACATAATATCACCACGGCTCAGGGAATGCCTTCATAGCAATTTCATAAGGCACCCCAATTACATCCGCCATCATGGCGTGACCATCCATAGAGCAAAACACGTAACACAGAACATTCGATTTAAAGACAACGCAACCAATGCTATCTATCTACCATAACAAATGCACCTCAACACAGGTACTGATGCCAAATACCCCTTACCTCTTGTATATATCCATTCTCTTTTAGACAGAAGCAGCGACCTTATGTACATGACATAAAGCGGTCACAAACATGGCCAATTCATGCTAAGCATATGATGAAAAGACACAGAAGCAGACATTACCTTCAGGGGAAAAGCATGTCAATATGATCATTAGACCCGGAGTTATAGGACAATATGGACTTTGCTTGTATAAGCAGCAAACGCGGCCTTCCCACCTCTCAAACCTTCCTATGGATCCTTTAATGTGACAGGCCACATCAAGGAATCAAAGGCTTGGAATGGGCCGGGTTTCTGGCAAATTATTAAATACTATGACATCAGTAGATGGCTTCAAGAATGAGCTGAATGAATATATTTCTAGACACAACATCCCATTCTTAATTTATCTCTTAATAAATGTATAAATAACACATTTCTACAAGAACAAAATCATAGAACTGTGCATTCCAACATATAATACCAACCACTCTCTTCAAATACAAGTACCTGGATCTATGATAAGAGATATAATACCAACCACTCTCTTCAAATATTGGTACCTGGATCTATGATAAGAGATATAATGCAAACCACTCTCCTCCAATAGGAGTACCTGGATCTATGATAAGAGATATAATACCAACCACTCTCCTCCAATAGGAGTACCTGGATCTATGATAAGAGATATAATACCAACCACTCTCCTCCAATACGAGTACCTGGATCTATGATAAGAGATATAATACCAACCACTCTCTTCAAATATTGGTACCTGGATCTATGATAAGAGATATAATACCAACCACTCTCTTCAAATATTGGTACCTGGATCTATGATAAGAGATATAATAACCAACCACTCTCCTCCAATACGAGTACCTGGATCTATGATAAGAGATATAATACCAACCACTCTCTTCAAATATGAGTACCTGGATCTATTCTAATATATAATACCAACCACTCATTTCAAATATTGGTACCTGGATCTATGATAAGAGATATAATACCAACCACTCTCTTCAAATATGATTACCTTGATCCAGAAGACCCTGCAGCAATGAGAAGATGGGCCAAATCAGGTAGAGTCATGGCAGCCATGAAACAAAATACGTGTAGAAATAGGGAGGTATTCATCCCGGCCACACACCACCTATCGATAAACCAGGAAGCCGATATTATTCCCCTGTAAGAAATAAATCAGATTCTTCATTTTATACACTTAAAAAAAAAAAAATTCTATTACTGGCCAAATACAGAGGGCCTTGTATGAATATAGCGCAATATGTTTATATTAAAGCAGCTGCTTCTTTGCGAATGATCCAGAGACGGCCATCTCACAATCTCACGGAGTAATCTCCATTATATTACCATCTATCCTACAGTGCAAGAGAGTGTTTGACTACAGATAGCATGGACTGTTTTGGTAGGCCACTGTAAAGTGTGTGGCCAGTGTAAAGGCACCCAAAGGCAGAAGACAAAAGGTGTCTCATTGGGAAACAAATGAACAATTTTCAGCCCTGACAATGGACAATGTAACAATACCTCTACTGATCTAAACGTTTATCGGCTTAGAGTGCTTAGTGGTAGACAGAACCACCTCCCAGTTTATTATACCTTTTATAATTTGCAAACCCTTCCACATCTCCATTATAAGGGTTTGTTAACACATGGTGTATAGAGTCATACCCACAGAGGCAAACCTACCATCTGTGCTACTGGTCAGGGGGCTAAAATGGCAAAGGGGGACCAGTAGTGGTGACAAGGGAGCCCCAAGGGAAGCAGCAAAGGTCTATCCTTCACTGCTGACCATCTTGATACCCCTACAGATAGACCAAATTCCTTTAAGGGCT